GATGGATATCTATGCTTCTGCGTGGATCTATCTGTCTCTATTTGCCTGTATTTGATCTGTCAAATCCGTAGTGTGATATCCTACAGTAAAAAAAGAAAAAAAAAACACCAAGAGAAAGAAAACAACAACAACAACAACAGCAATAACACACAAATAAAAAGAAAACTAGCAGCAGAGTTAAAAAAAAAAAGGTATAGACGTACACATGCCACAACAACGAGCACATTTGTTGAAACATTTAAAGGCAAAAAAGAACAAAAAAACAACTTCTATGGAGACAGAAAAAAATACCACTATCCTATGGGGTTTTGCGGTATTCATCATCTATATATATTTCCCTCATCCCTTCATTCTTGTTTCACCGCTAATCACTTTTTCTTTTTTCTCTTGGCTGCCATGGCCTTCTGAGTGACATTACTCTTCTTCACTCTATGAACTCTATTCAATTTAGCCTTGGGTCGTGTGGGCTGCAATTTTCGCCTCGGTTGTGGCTTTTGTTTTGCACTACCTCGAGTAGTGACAGCCTTCTTTTCCATGACTGCAGTTTCTTTTCGAGTTACTCCTGTTCTCTGTGGTGTTTTCTTTCCTTTACCATTTACACTTCCTCTTTTTGGTCTTTGCTTCGTATCAGGCGAGTTTGATACTCGTGCGGTTGTGGAGGATGATGTTTTTGCTACTACCACTGCAGGTGAGGTGAAATTTATCTTTTCACCACTTATTACGGGAGTCTTAACAGCGGCCTTTCCTGCTGCTGTAGTTTTGATCTTTCGTGATGCCGCTGTTCGTTGTCTTGCTGGGGGTTTACCTTTTAAATCTTCACGTACCAATTCAGCCGTCCACTCCTTTACCTGCTCACAGAGACTTTCAAAGAAGGAGCAACCATTGCTCATCCTTTTTTTCAATTCTTTTCGTGTCTGTTCATTGCGTCTTGCCGCAATTTCATAAGGCTTACGATGTGTAATAGGAAGACTTTTCCAGTTGCGTCGACATGCATTTAAAAAAACGGCATCTTGTTCAAAATCTCCATTCATATTATTATTATTATTATTATTATTATTATTATTATTATTA